CTAATGCGCCGTTCAGTGTTACAGCAAAATATCGATCTTTCTGTACTAGGGTTCCCACCCAAGAGATGAGATATTCGTCTAGGTATCTTCTGGGACGTTGTTTTTTCTTGATGTGAAGCTTTGAAGAGAAGTTAACAACTAAAATAATAGACTAGCTCACATCTGTGGTATGATTCAAACCTCATGTATAACCTAAATAGCCCTCCACTGGAATTTTCGTTATTTGGAGATACAAACGTCTTCGTCTTATGCGATATAGAATCATATGCCAGCTGTTACAAAAACCCTTTAGAGGTATCAATAACTTTGAACAGCGATTTTGAATAGCTTGGTAATAGTACTTTTCATTCAGTTTTTATGTTTTTCCTAACGCCACCTATAGTATGAGAACGTAGTTTCATCCATTCCTAAAGGATATAAATACTTCTAAGTATATTCAAGATAAACCACGAAATCAGTTCACGGGCTCAAATCAGAACACTGCTAGGAATTGCTTAAAACGCTGTATCTTTATCCCGTAGAATATGAGGTACCCAGAGGGAACCTACAACATTTTGTACAACATTGGGAACCATCTGGGTTTCTTACTTTGCTTTTCAATTACAACACTGAGGGGAGTACTGGGAATCTGAAGTGTTACGTAACAGGTCGAACTGAAGACATACCATTTATCCTTTACTAGTAGTCAATGTCCGTAATCTAGATTCGGTCTGAAGTGACTCAACATACTTCTCGGGAGTTCTCCAGTGGGAAATCTTGTGTGTTTTTAACTAGCCAACAATAATTCAATTTATTAATACTCTATTTCCGACTTTTCATTCACTTATGTTCCTACCTGAAGGGATTGGTGCTCCACTGCTACTGAACATAGCAGACCATTAAGTGACGGACCCTTTTGTTACGCTCACATCCATCTAAACTATTTGGTCCAAAGTATTAGATTTCGAAGCTATCAATATTCAGAAAAAAGAGTGACATTCAGAAAACAGTTTTAGTTCCCTTATTTAGTTTATTTAGCGGAGTAAATATCTTTCCGTAAATAGTCTGGGTATTAAAAAAATCGGACGTTTATTTGAATGTCTCCTTTATTTAATCTAAGGTTGTCTTTGAGGTTTTCTTGCATCCACGCCTGCTTTTTTGTCCGTTTTCACTGTAAATGCAGGTTCACTTTAAGTTTGCTATGTCGTCTGCCCACTTTCTACTTTTTTGTTGAATGATAACAAGCTCACTTCCCTTCACATTAGCCGCCAGGAGCTCACTTTCGTAACTTAAAAATACAAGTATCTAAATTAGTAGAACTATAATTTATAGACGACTTGTGGGCGATGCTGGAGTTATAAATTAATATGAAGAATTAGGATCAAGATTTAGAGTTTGAATTCAAGGTTGGAAATTAAGGTAACGGTTTTCATTACTAACTGACGTGAGCCATAATGCCAAAATGCTTTTCAACTACATGAATGGATGAATTTTGCGCCAATATTCAAGACTTATTATCCTTAGTTTCATTGATTCGTTCGTAATTTATAGCCTCGGCCCTGAATTTTGTAAAGCTTATGGAGTGCTCAGGATGCGTTAGATTGCCATAGCCCATTATTTTGTCAATAAATTAAAATAGCATAATGTTAAGACGTGACTGTTCTATTAATATGCACTCGTTCCTGTGACTTTTGTTCGAAATAAACTGGAACAACTCATGTTAATACAGAAGAATATGTGTTTTATGTAGAGACCTTATGGTTGTCGCGTAACAATTTAATTAATGAAATAACGATATTTACTGAAAATACTGTTTACATTCTGATTAAAAGTCAGACAATTCACATTATTATTATTATTATTATTATTATTTACCACGTCACTTATTCACTCTTTTTATTCCCAATTTGTGTATCCCTACTTTTCAACTTATACAGCAGCTCACCCATGGTGGAAACTCTGTTCTATCTAAACGATCTCCAGTCACTGTCTGGTCGAAAGTGAATGCTTCCACCGAATACGTATACTAAATAAATCTTTCTGAAACGACATAAACCATTAAAACTGGCTTCCTTCAACGTTCGTGCACCAATGCAGATCGAACAACATATAGGGCTGGCTATGTCTTTAGGTCTTAATATCGACGTTTGTTGTCTATCTGAGACCCGTATTCAAGACTCTAGTGAAGTACTACAAATTCGCTTTTCATCTGTCGCTTCAAAAAGCTTGTTTTACGTGCGTTTATCCGGGGATCTTGTGGCATCTTCGTCTGGCCTTGCTGGAGTTAGTGTTGCACTAAGCGCTAGAGCTGAGGCAGTACTAATCGAATGGATTCCTATTAACAGTCTGTTATGTATTGTTAGATTAGAAAGCTCCATCAAAGTGGGAAGAAATGGGCATGAGAAACGATGTCTTTTTGTCATCTCCGCCTATGCCCCGACAGATTGCAGCCCGGATGCAATCAATCATATCTTCACCCTCCGCCAAATGTTATGACACCGTCATACTTATCACAGGCCAACAATTGTAGTGTTTCTTGATATCTGGACCACCTTCAAATCGTTGGACAGAACTGTTCTCTTGGATTGTCTTTTGAAGAAGAGTGTGACTGAGAAGTTTATTAGCATCTTGAAAGCTCTATATACAAACATCTCAGGCAGAGTGAGGGCATACAACCACCTTTCTCCATTGTTCCATTCAAGCAGTGAGGTTATGCAGGGTTGCCCAATTTCATCATTCCTCTTCAACTTTGCCATCGATGACATTCTGGAAACAGCTCTGATGGATGTGAGTAATGGCGGTGTGGATCTGTTGCCTAGAGAAAGACTTATCGACCTTGAGTATGCGGATGATATTGTCTTACTGTGCGATAATGCCCATGCCATGCAATCCGCACTTAATCAGTTGGCAATCAGTTTCCATAGGTACGGTATGTGCTTTACACCTTCGAAGTGCAAAGTACTTCTATAAGACTGGCAGGATTCTAATCCTGTACTCACCCTGCGTGGTGAGCAGATTGAAGTAGTTGAGAATTTTGTGTATCTAGGCAGCTGCAGAAGTTCTGACGGTGGCGTGAATGATGAGATCAATTCACGTATATTGAAAGCCAGAGAGACTTATGCCAATCTGGGCCATCTTATGAGCCTTCATGATGTTAGTCTGTCTGCAAAAGGTCGGGTCCACAACGCGTCGGTAAGAGCAGTTTTTCTTTATGCTTGTGAAGCCTGGCGTCTCCGAGTTGAGGATGTTAGACGACTCTCTGTGTTCGATCATCGTTGTCTCCGAAGGATCGCTGACATCCAGTGGCAACACCATGTTAGTAATGCAGAATTTCTGCAACGTGTGTCCAGGGACAGCAACGATAATTCGGTGGGTGTCTTCATCTAGAAACATCGACTTCGGTGGCTTGGACATGTACCACAAATGTCATCCCGGAGAATTCCACGTTGTGCATCATTGGCGGACACTGGGACTAGTTGGAAAATGCGGAGAGGTGGTCAGTGTATGACACGGTGTCGTGGTGTGAAAGAAAGCTGTACAAGACTGGCTTCTGTTGGTCCTCCACTACTCCCTAGCTGGGATCCTAGAGATGGTGGAGCACAGTGGCTTGAGACGTTATCAAACATGGCTTAGAATATAAGTCAGTGGCGATCCTGCTGCAACTTTCTTTTACTTTTTTCACAAAAATGGAACGTAACTTCCTTAACTGAAAGAGTTCTTCTGGTTGTACATTTCTGTTTCCCCACGATTATTCTTATTATTACACTAACATACACTAATCTGTGGTTGTTATTGTTCTTTTCTTCTTTTTATCATATTCACCTTACCCCTTTTTCTCTTTCTGTTCTCATTGCTTTGTGTGGCGCTTATATATCTGGTGCCCCCATTGTACCAGTATTTATGTGGTTAAATAAATAAATATATACATTTCGCTGACAAACCAAGAGGTTTAGATTCAGATGACTGGATAGTTAGCGACTCGCAAGTATATAGTCTAGTATAGGGATTGTCAAGGAATCATGTTAGGATATACCAAAAATGTGTTCACTACTTTTCACACCGTATCGAAACGTCTAATGGTGGAAAGCTGTAAAAGCCACAGCCTTTTGTTTTAAAGGCGAATGAGATCCCCCTAAAAATTTGTTGTGTTTATTACCTGGTTTTCAAAGCCAGTAAGTCATAAGTTAGAAGTTAACATTTATTTTAGTCAGTTCAAGTAACCATATCATGTAAATACAGTTTGTCATAATGAGATAAGGACAGTATTAAGGGACAAGGGCTACGATATTTTTTTTTCAAATAAAAGGTTCCAGTGTTTGCTGTATTCGGACAATCATTTTTATTCATTAGTACACATATCATTGACGGTGTAAAGTACTGATGACATCGGCTAAAACGTACGAATATATAACTTACCTTGAAGTCAATAGAAAATCCAATATTTGAAGCAAAGGTTGGTGTCATGTATATTTTTTTTACCAACTGGAGCTTCATGATGATGACTACTCATTGATTTTCTCTGACGGTGCACGTTATGATCCCGACAAGAAATTGAAATTCCTACCCTAATTTTAAATGTAAGTAACTGTTTAGACGAAAGCTGCATGAATTCACTTGATTTAGTGACTGGTATAATTAACGATTATTTCTATCGTCCTAGAAAACTTTAAACAGGCATTCAGTTAGACCATCGCTTTCTATGTTTTGACACGTTATCTCAAGTTGTAGGAAAAAGAGGCAAGCGATCATTCTGTTTGTCGTTTCGTTATTTACTTAGCTTTATTGATATAGTTACGAATCCCTATAAATGATCCGTAAAAAGCGGTTTAGTGGAGCTAATAATATGCTTAAGATAAAAAAGCAGCGCTCGAAATCTCACCAATATCTAATGTTGACGGGATCTTATTATTCTGATATCATTCTTCTTATATTTTAGGTATTTGTTCATATTTGCTTACATTTGTAGATTTGTTAATTAACTGAATTTACCAGATATATTAGTTGATTAATTTTATAGTGCAATGAATATCGGGGGAGTTCAAATATAGTGAGTTAGGACTATAATTAATTATTGGAATATAGCTTGATTAAGATCTTTAGACGTGGCTTTGCTGTTGTTTCTAACAAGCCTTACAAGGTTTCTATCTTTGATTCATGGAACACATGTAAACATGCTGACGGAAATCAGCCAGATTTTCGTAATGTTCCAACAGTGTCCACTATACTAAGTAAAACAACACCTTTGGAAAGTACAATTGCACTCCGAAAATGGCAAGATAAAAAGAAAAATGAACTTGGCGAAGATGGATTTCAGGAGTACATGAGAGGTAAATACCACTAGACAAATGTTTTTGTTAAATAGAACTTCAGCTTTTAGGAAAAAGTGTTCATTCCAGTGTAGAAGCACGACTTACGAAGGGCAAGTTTCCTTCTAATCTACCTGAAAATGTTTCCAAATATTGTGAAAGTCTAAAATATATCTTGAATGATTTAAAGTATTCTGCAGTGGAAACTAACTGCTTTCATCCTCAGCTTTTGTATCGCGGGAGGTTTGATAGTATAGTGTTTTTAAAGTAGGTTCATGTTTAACAAACTCGTAAAGCTTTTTTGTTTAATACAAAGATAATATGTTTGCCGAACTTCATTAATATTCCACGTATCCCTTTTATTTTATAAATTTTCTTGCAAAATATATTTGTTTTTAAAGGATTCCGTAGCTTTGAACAAATTATTCAAAGTATATATATATATATATCTTATAGGTCATAAATATTACGGCATCTCACCCTTCCGTGATCAGTTTTTATATTTTTCAATGATAATATCGGTTGTTGTAACTGATTCGACATATTAATTTAGTAATTCCATAGTGGTGCTATTAACCTATGGAATTCAGTGCCAGCATTTCAAACGGTATCTCTTTTAAGACTATTCAGCTAGCAAATATCTTAGTGAGATTGCGGTTCGGTGGGTAAAACACTTGACTTTTAGCTGTAAATTCATCTGTTCTATGTACTTCGATTTCATTTGACCTCGCACAAGTCTAACTCGAAATTAAGTGTTTAACTATATACATTTTTTTCTGATTGACGTCTGGATTAATTATTTGTGCATTTTGATTTAAGAAAAAAAGTAGATAGTCGGGTATAAATCATTTTATTCAATTATCGGTCCGTTTGTTTCATTTATTCAACAAAGCATTATTTCTTGACCGAAACTTAGAGATATAAATGAACCTATTTTGACTGAATGGAAAACAGTACACGAATCCAAAAGAATATTGACTATTGAACAGGCTTATGATAGTCCATTACAAGTGGCCGCGTATATTGGAGCTTATAATTTTACTCGTTATCCTGAATCTTTGCCTGTAAGTTCACGTTTTCTTGAATGCTTGCTCCTGTAAGCAAACTGCTGTCTGTAAATGGCATAGAATGTTTTGGTTTTCTTCAAATGCCCTTTTAGTCAGAGAGCTGTTGGATGAAAGTATTTTCGTAGTAATTACGTATTTTGCAAACGAACAGATCGAAACGAATGCGTCAATCTAAGTTGTCGCATCTCGTTTAAACGGAGTGAAAAAAATGAACGAAAGGGTAAGGAAGAAATAAAAAAAACAGTTCCAGCAGTAGTGGAAAATTATACGAGAGAACTAAGGTCTATAGAACTTGAGGAATGAAAAATATGCAGTGATGCGCTATTCATGAATTAGGAAGTCAACTAATAATTAAATCTGATCCAGTGGACCTAATTTTAAACCATATTAATCAAAGTACTCAATCGTTTGTTATGATTAATTTGTGGGTCATAACGTAAACGTGTGTGCCTTTTTGCATGGCTCAGGTTAATAGTAAATAACTTCATAAGGTAAACCCTGTTCTAAGTCTGGTCTCACGTATTCTATGTGTGGATCACTTCTATATGAGTGTACGTAAACTGACCAACTTTGTCAATATTCACGTTTCAAGATGCACATGGGAAGATGGTAAGGGTTCATAGTTTACACTCAGCCTGTGCGAATGTTAGTATCTTACTTATCATATAGAGGTATGTTGCATGTAAAAGAACTTAGTTCGTGTCACTGTCTAACAACAAAAGCATCACCTATTTTCTATACCAATGGTCTGAGTTCTTAGTATTGTGCACTATAAGCGTCAGTTATTATTTAATTCTTATCAGTTTCATACTTGTTAATTGCAAACGATAATGTCATATTACTTCCATCACAGTGTTATGTGTCTCAATAGTTTATTATCTGCGCTAATTTCTTGTTTCGTGACAAATTTTCAACGTGGAATTTATTTCAATTTCGCTTCAGTGTGTTTTGCCGCATGATGTTTTTTCCTGTTTTCTGTTCTTCCCAAAACTACTTAGTTGTAAACATTTAAGGTATATATGTATTGTTTTGTATGTGGAAAAAGTGTAACATTATATTTTGTGATTTTCACTAACAGGATAATTTATATACTCTCGATTACTTGTTTTTCCTATCTTTACTAAATTTAATGTGTAAAGGCATAAGTGTTTTTGGGATGGACATTTCTTTCTTGTAGGTATTGGCGAGTAAAATTAAAACAAAAGGTTCGTCTAGTTATCTTAAGCTGCTTAAGGCTGAACTGTTTAACAGTCGAAATAATTGTTTAAGGAAAAATGTAATACTTAGCTTGATGCACGTATCTTCACTTTTGACTTTGAACATAAAGACTTGTAAGTTTGCACAATCTAGGAATGCAAACAGTCTTAGACCATGCACGGATGCATTTTTAGCAAAACAAGTAACGGCTTTGTTATTTGTTACAAAACAATGGAGAGATCCGGTTGTTAAATAAGTCAACGTCTGACCCCGCGGTGTAACGGTTGTAATTATTTGGTGTTTAGTGTACTACTGTGGTGTGGTCTACTTATATACACAAGTAGTATATGGTGATGGTCAGACATAGAATGTATTTTGCCAGAAGATCGATAAGGAAAGAACAGGAGTGAAGAGCAATCGGTACAAAAATGCATGAACAATAAAATCAGAGAAGACGAACTGATATTTGCAAAAGGAGCAGCTAAGATTGAGACAATTGATTGTTATTTTGCAAATTAACTGTTTACTGTATGGTTATCAGAATTTAGTGAGATAGTCTGTAATTTGTGCTTAAATACATTCGATTGTCCCCGCCCGTGTTTTGTTTACTATACTACCACCTCACTTTGATTTACAGCTTACATGATATTTACATACAACTCTTAAAAAATAATTAAATAAATCAAGTTATGAAAACGACGGAACTTCCCATATACTTAAGACTATTTTATTGGCTTTATGCGAATCTGGAAAGCCCATCCACCATACATTTATCTAAAAATGTGTTTATAATTTTTAACCGCGTTTCTTAGTATCTAATTCATTGTTATTTCAAAATAGGTGACAATGTATTTTGAATCTAACTTAGGTCAAAAAAGGAATGCTGGTGTATTCTTATGGTGATGGTTATCCAGCTGCTCGGTTTGTTTTGAACGAAACTAACTTGTTACATTACTGGGAGTTGTGGTGTGAACGTGTTAAAACTTATTATGATCAGGTAAACTGTTTAGCATGTTTGGTTGACTTTTGTTGTGCAGTACTAAATTTTAAAATTTCCTCAGGTTTCTGTTTATTTTTCGGAAACTAATATCTTTTCGACAAGCTTTCTGTAACAATGTTCCGTATTAGTTACTTTACGTATGTTATCAATCCACGATAACTATCTCTAACTCTACTACATCATCTATAGTTTATCCTCACTGCATCGTACATTACATCTCTCTACTTTCTTTCCTTCACATGCATAAAATATTCTTACGATGCTGATAATTATTAGACTAGTTAATTTGCTTAGAACATAGCTAACAGAGTAAGAGTTTCTGAGTTATGCAGTAGAAATCTCATTTATCTGGAGAGCGTAAAAAACATGGTAATGATGTGAAATTAACGCTTTTATTCGTTAGGATATGTGTTTTGACGGTTCAGTCATTGTCTTTCGTTTTCTTTTTGTATGTGTAAAACAAAAAAACAACAACAGAGAAAAACAAATCAAAACAGAAAAAAAGTTGACAGAAGTGTAGGCAAAGCTGTAATATATGTGGATATGTATGTGAATGAGTGGTTTTAACTTCTTGATTATTGATTAAATGTTGATATTATTACTGACGATGATGATATACTGATGATAATAGTGACAATATTTGTGTAATGTAGAGGAGATGATGGAAATAATGATTAGTGTACTGTTGCCTACATTTTGAATTTTAAATATTTAGGTATGTGTATTTATCTGTGTAGAATAGGATGAGATGTGAAATGCTGTATAGTTGGCCATGTGACTGGTCCATGACTATCACTGTTACTATTACCATTTGACCAAGTGTTCTGTTTTCTAGGAATATTGTAAAACTGTTCAGTAGTGTCAGTGTTATCACAATGTTGGTAATAGTAAGTGTACAATGGTATGTTTTCATTCGATTCAGTCAGTAAATGTGTTAACAAAATGTCGTCGTTATTATTATTATTATTATTATTATTATTATTATTATTATTTGTACGATATATTTCTTTATTTAAACTCTTTTCATCACATATTATTTGATGGTGCTGATGATTCGAGTTTTCTATTTGTTGTTTTATTCTATTTTCAATTGTTCTCGTTGCATTATTCTGATTGTATTCATGTTTCACTTTAATCCTATCAGATTCATGTTGATTATTCAATTGACGATCAATTATTTGTGATGATATCATATTTTCTTGGATGATTATTACTTCTTTTTTATCATCATTCTCCAATTGTTTTAATGTATTTCGTTGTTGTTCCACTGAATTCATATGTTTGTTATTCGTAGTTAAAACAGTTGTTATTGTAGTCTTATCTTGTGAACTACTATAATCATTTACTATTGTTGGACTAGGTGAACAACAGGGCGATGAACATGTAGTAGAATAATAGGAATTGAATGTTACATTATGCATAAAAATATTTGGCGTAGATGGTTCACTTTTTATATGTGATATACATTGACTATTATTATTATTATTATCACTGTTATAAATAGTATGTTTATTTTTATTGTTATTATTCTGGTGATGATAATTAGTATCTTTTGATAATATTAAATTTTTTAATAAGATTCCTTTTGGACAATTTTGTCCATTTATTAATTTACAGTTTGTTTTATCTTGTGAGCCATATGTTGTCGTTTCTTTTATTGCCTTGATATCGTTTCTTTTATTGTTGTCATATTGTTGTAGAATTGTATCTTTTATATGTTTACTTTCAGTTGTTTGATGATCTTCAGCATTATTATTAATGTTATAGTTGTTACTATCATCATTCATAGAAAGTGATTTAATTGAAGTTGACTGATTTTGTTGTTTTTTCAATGTATAATTTGTTTCATTCAATGATTTCAATCTAACAATCACAGGTGAATTCGTAATTTTTGCTATAGTTGTAGTCATTGTTGGAAGTATATAATCATTAAATTTCTTAATAGGACTATAACATTTACTATTTTGAGTTTCATAATTAACAGTATTACTGTGGTAATCATTTGAATTCACAAGTTCATTTGATTTAATGTTGGATATTGTTGATGACGGTTGAATTAACTTTAGATCATCATTGTTGATGATAGTATTCTCTCGTTTGTTTGCTTTCAAATGTTGAATATAATGGTGATGATGATGTTGACAATAACGGTGATGAGTAGATTTGGAATTACATTCATTTTCTGATGTTTTTGTTATTTTTGTTGTGGATGGTATTGATGTCAAGTTATAATTCGCTCGATTATTTGTTTTATAAGATTCTTTTAATATTAAAACTGGTGAAGAGGATGGTGACACTGATGACGATGATGACGACGTTGATACTGAAATAGGTGATTTTATTGATGCTTCTAATTCCGATTGATCCTTGTTATAATCATGTGATTTTACTAGAAAAGGTTTAACACGTGAATAACACCGTTGGTAATAATGACGATATCTTGACCGTGTTGCTTTTGGTGCCTTAGTAGTAATATACTGATGGTAATCACTTTTACGTTTATATTGATGGCGATGATGATGATCATACCGATTTTTCATTAAATAACATCCAATTAAGATGGAGATAGGTAATCCAAATATACAAATTAATATTATGCTAAATATTAAAATATACATTTTCACTGTTAATTTAAGTTTCATTTCTGTAGAAATATTTGCTTGTTCATTGTCTAAATAGTGAGGATTTGTTTGGTTATTTGCTTGAATAACAATTTCTTCCTGACTTTTTAATTTATTCTGAGTTAGTTGGTTAGTTATGTGTACGGTATTTATCTTTTCATTGCCTAAATAGAAATTCAAATGAATTTAAATAAAAGCGGGTTTGTTAAATAAGTTTCTTGTAATTACGAAAGCGAATGAAGTAATAGTAAATACGTATTATCTTAAATATGGATTATTTACAAATTTAATATTAGTCTAAAGCAGTGACTTAATAACTTTCAATCAGTAGGCCACATATTTGAAGTCAGCCTCACTTATTTCGGTCTTGAGGGTGTCGGGTAATATCATTAACTAGCCGTTACACAGACAGTGTGACTTAAATCCGAGTACAGAAATCTGTACTTTGTAAATGATTTACATTCGTTTATTATTATTATTATTATTAATTCTGTTATATTTTTCGTCAGTACTTTCGAAATAAATAAATCTATTTCACTCTGATTAGATGTGTGAAATTTACGTCTGTTAACGTTTTTCCTTTCTCAATATTTTTTCATACGATGGGAGTTTGCATGCGCAATACGACTTGGTGCTTCAAGAGTATTGTACTAATAATTACAGTTTCTGGATTTGATTATTTGTAGGAAGTCACTAATGTTCATAACTGAAGTTTCAAAATGCAATGAAACAGCCATCAAGTTTTTTTCAAATTTTTGATAGCTCACTCTATGTGGTTTTGACCTAACTACCTAATTTAACTATTCCAAAAAAGTATTACCCTTTCAACTAGATATCTGTGATTGTTTCGAGAGAAACTAAACTGGATTATTTTGAAGAAAATTTTAGTGATACTGTGACTTGCTTGACTTTCAGCCCCTAAGTTGCTCGTTCGAAGTCCGCTCCACCTACTTCGGTCTAGGCAAATGGGTAAAATTAACCCTTACACTTAAAATGTGGCTCGAAGTCAATTACACGTATTTTGACCTGGTAAATTAAACAGTAGTAAAATAATTTGTAACGCTTGTTTTTCTTATTTGTTTTTCAAACAATCTTTTGTTTTATTAATTTTCATGTGAATGCTCGTAATATTTGCTTGTTTAATCCTTATAAGAATATGGTTCATATGCAAAATTATTTGCTTATAATGATAACAATGATAATATAGATTGTAAAGTTCATTTTTATTAATGTTCTTAGAACATTGATAAGTCCTAGTACTTTTTTTCTTACTGAAGTCAGATGAACTAAATACAAATACAGTACAGTTGGAGACTCTGGGTGACATGGCTCAGAGTCGATCACAATGGCGCAAATGTATACACTCTTTGTCTTCCCTTGAACCTTGAGATTAAAATTGTTTTATACCTTTCTACGAACTAATTCTTTCTCCCGGTATCATATCCTTATAATATTCAGTCTTTTTTATATATATTACTACCGTTGAAGTAACTGTTTTTGTGAGTTTGGTGCTCATCTTGTTGTGGCAACTTAGAACAGTGCATATATGTGCCTAGTCTTACGTTTTAGACGATTGACTGACTGACAGATACAGTAACAATATGGCTGAAGGCATAATGGTTTTAATTTCTTGTGTGTATTTATGTGATAAGTAAACTTGCTTACCTTCCTCTTATTTTAAGTGAATAAGTATAGCAGTCACCCGCATACAAAAATCCAATTATGTACTAAACTGATGAATCATTAATGTATGTTTTTGAGTGAATTATTGTTAATAAGCAAACACTTTTTATTCTGATTATATTTTATTTTGTTTTAGTGCATCAATCCTTCTAATGAAGAATAAGAATTGAAGTTTTGGATGTATCCATATCTACCTGTTGCAATATCATCATTTCATCAGTGGTTTAAATGAAATAAAAACATTATTTTTTAAAAACTGTATATGCATTTAATTGGAATTTATAACTGTATATACAATTACTAATTCATAGTTTGTCTAATTTTTATTTGCTATTCTCTTTTCTATGGATAGTCGACTGCTTCAGTTTGCCGATATGTATCGTTTGTTAATTGGTTGACTTAACCAATTTCTCTCTCATATACATATCAATCATTTGCACCAACAAGAATTTACTTAAAGTTTTAGGAATGAATTCAGATATGAGCCACGTGGTAAATCATTCATACAACCGTCTGCTTTTGAATAAGTTCCTGTGGAATGCTACGCTGTAACTACACATTTCTAGGTAACTAGATTTAAGTTTCTTTAAGGTAGCATAGTATTTGACGGAGAGTAATCTTCAACAGTTTTTCAAATTGTTTTTAAAAGATAGAAACAGAAGAGCACTATTTATCTAGTTGTTTGTTTCGTACTGGAAAGATTAGGTCATAATTATTTAAAACAAATAAAATAATCGGTAGTAGATGTTATTGTGAACTAACTACTTTTTAGTGATTTTCCACCACGTCTTATGATTTATTAGTACAA